TTCAATACAACAGAACATCGGGTTATTTTGCTATCTTTTCTGCAACAAGCCGAAGCATATCACCAATAGTTATAGGCACCTCATCGGTAAAGAGGGGGGGGGGGGGGGGGGGGGGTGGGGGGGGGGGGGGGGGGGGGGGGGGGGCAGGTGTAGGGCACCAGGAAAAGCCACGGGTTCTCTTTCCTTCTTGCCTTTATGTATGTGGACCGAACGGTGTTGGACTTCGTGGAGGTTGCCTAGGTAATCATGCAAGCCTTGAAAGTATGCAGACTTCCTACGTGATACTTGGGAAGTAATATGAGTAGACGATTTTATGTTCATTGATGTCGATGCCATACAATTAGTCGGGGCTAGGCTTGTTGTCCTAGTACTTTCCTGCTGTCGATGGAAGAGTCATAAGTGAATGCCTGATGTATGACTTGTTGTGACCTCGTGGCCCATTCTAGATTTCAGGGTTACGTCCAGAGCAAGGGGTCTGCAAAAACCATAGGATGTAATTCTAGCCATAATCTAGTCGTATGTCGGACATGGCCAGTGTACTATAATGAGTCTTGCCCGGCGTACATAGACCAAACTCTGTCGAAGACGAGCATACAGCAAAGCCTGTCCCTTCTCATTTCTCGACTGTCTAGGACATCCTGCGAATGATAGAAGATGAAGCCCCTTTACCTTAAGAGGAGAACGGCATACAGCCCGCAACTCGTCGGCTTCTTGGTGAGAGCCCCCCCCCCCCCCCCTCTTCCCTCCTCCCTCATTCTCCCAATCAAAAGACCCCCATACCCCCAACGACCTCCGTCAGATTAGGTTTCGAAATAACATTCTCGCGCTTCTGGCATCTGACAGCGCCACGTACGACGTCGCCGACCTGGGCTGGTGCTCCTCGCCGCTCGACTACATCGACCGTACCCAGTCGGGGTGGGGACCGAAGAACCAAACTGGGTAATTACGGTTGAAGGTTCAAGCCGGAGTTAGTTAACCATTCCTGCAAGAAGCGCGCGCACTGTCGCTGTTGAGAATGGATCCGTTGTGCAGCAGCATTGTGTGGTGTTTCCTGTGAGGTGCATCCCCCCTAGCCCCCCTATTATGCCAACTGTCTATAGGTAGTGTCTAGGCACCTAGTCTATCTTGCTATGTAGATAACCCCTATCGATTCATCCCCCTGTCACAGGTTTAAGGGGAGTGCAGAAACTTTCCGCTCCGCAACCCCACCCATTTGTAATTGATTTCTGGATATTTTGGTCGGTAGATATTGGATCGATGGAATGACCACCCGAGCATGTGATGGATGTTGTATTCCTTATTAGTCAGACCCAACTGACAGGCAGGTCGGACGGGACCTGGACCTGGAATGGCCCTGGGGTGTTACCATAATGTTGCACCTGTTGTCAGTTGAACGAGCGTACCGTAGACTGGTGCATGTCGGGTACCTACGCTGGTAGCTAGCTAGCTAAGTAGGCTTCTACGACAAAATTTTGCATCAGCAGCCAATAGCAGCAGAATCCAATATCCGAATTGGTGTAGTGGCCAACATTATCCGCTCTCATTTCATCTGTGCGATGCGATCCGGGTAGCCCGGGGTTCGATTCCCCGATTCGGAGTTCTTTTTTTTTTTCTTCTTTTTCTTTCGTCTTTTTGACGTCCTTTTAACTTTTTCATTCCTGGCGGTGACCTATTCTCAGTGTTATTATGTTGCGTAGTTGGCTTTTTGCTGTATTTGTTTTATCTATCTATGCATGGTTTCATGTGTATATCTTCAGGGACTATGCCACTATCATGTCTGCCCATCAACCATGTGGCCTCCACGAATGGTTTCTCAGTGGTGCACCATTGATGCCCATGGTATGAATAGCCTAGCAGTGAGAACATGTTGCGACAGCTATGACCAATCATTGCGAGGCTTGTCATCACATATGTGATTGGCGGTCGGGCTATCGGAGAGGTTCAGAGAGCCTGAGCTCTTCCAGCCTTACGAGAGTCTTACAACCTCAAACCTACCGCTGCATTACCAGGCTCTATGTCTCCCTGGCAGTTCTGAATGTGGGAAGGGCACCACGTATATTGGTTTGTGGCGCTTCAGACCCCCGGTCCCCATCCCAAAGAGTCAAGGTACTTAGGTATCAATGGCTACCAGCAGTGCGACCATGGAGGATGGCATAGAGGAGGCTTCGTCACAAGATGCGCGCTTTGCGCATAACTGTGATGAAGTATCTGAGATGAGAAGACAACTCAGCCGTGACCGTGTATTCAGAATCCACGCCGAGAGCAAGTTAATCCGACACTCTCGCATAAGGATGGGTGACAGATGCGGTACATTTGAGCAGCGTTTAAGTGGCCTTCTTCTGTCCTTCGGCGTCCTTGCAGTTATCTCCTTGGGCTATCCAAAGATGGGTGGCAAAACTGGCAAGACTCTTCTTGGCGGAAGTAGTTTGCTGTTCGGCGTTTCAGCGATTAGGATGTGGCGACACGGCCATTTCCGGGAGTATTTGGCAAGATGGTGGCCGTTGGGTCGCTGGAAACTTTTCGACCCCGAGATGTTGTCACCCGATAACAGAGATATTTCAAGGCGGCTCTGCAACTTCCTAGACCATGCTCAAAGCCCCGTGGATGGGGATCAACTCAACACTGTGAGTGGCTGTCTTTTCTCAGTCGTTGAATGCCTCGCTCAAGATGCGGTTAGGATCATGTAACCTCGCGTACCTCTGATAAAGCTCAGTCTGATGACACGGCAAAGTATGGGGAGATATACTGGCTGCCCATACGTTCGGGGAATTATTTTCGTCTCTTGGTGCTTGAGCCAGGGCGCTTCGATGAAGCCATAGTATGCCGTTTGGTCAGTGTTGTTTTTGGACAGAGCAGCGTTCAGTACGATGCCCTGTCCTATGTCTGGGGCGATGCGACGGAAACCGTGTCCATTACAGTTAACACCCAGTCTTTCGAAATACGCAAGAATCTGGACACGGCTTTGCGCTATCTCCGACTCGAAAAGGGACGAAGGGTCCTCTGGGTTGATGCCATCTGTATTAATCAGCATGACAATACCGAGAAGAGCTGCCTTGTAGCAGGCATGTCCGATATCTACGAGCAAGCCAAATACGTCATCGCTTTTTTGGGCCCGGGCCTTAAGCACTCACGACTCTTTGACTTCTGTAATGAGTTCACGAACGATGATGTCGTTGACATGTTCCAAGGTGATGAACTTCAAGCGAGGCTTGAGAGACATGGTATTGAACGCATCCTTGCAGAATTGATACACTTGTTGAACCAGCCATGGTGGTCGCGGGCTTGGATTATTCAAGAACTCGCATACGCAGGGACTGATCCAATGATCATGTATGGTGATGAGTATACTCACGTGCGCAATTTCTACCGGCTTTTCGAGCACTTCCATGAACAACAACAGACCTTCTTACCAGAAACATCCGAGTCTGACGGCCTCAACGAATACTGGGGATCTTTGAAAAGGAGGCAGTCGAACCTGCTCTGGCGTGCCCGCTTCCACCCAGCGATGCACTCAGTCGCCGAACTGCTGCAGGCTACACGAGGACAGCAGGCTACCGATCCTAGGGACAAGGTGTTCGCCTTTCAATCGCTCATGATGGAGCCGGCGCGATCGGCTTTTACTCCAGACTATACGAAAACCACATCCGTGGTCTACACCAGGATGGCAGCCTATCTGCTATGCATTGAGAAATGGGACAAAATGTTTCTCACCTTTCCCCTCGCCAGTAGCCCAGAGCTTCCGTCATGGGTTCCTGACTTTTCATCGGCACAAGATGAACTGCATGATCTGCTCTGGGCTGATACTCCGCGGCTTCAGATCGGAAATTTCCAGGCAGTAGTGAAAGCGGCTGTGCTAGGCGTTCGCGGGGCATGTTGTGGTAAAGTCAACAGCAAGGCAGCCCTAGTTGATGATGAGGATGCGAATGTTTCATACCATTTTGCCAGTGATATACCCCAATTTTTATTGGAAACCGTCGAAGCCACCCTGACTGTCTTCGGACAGGGGCCTGTTATCGAGCCAGATGAAACCGAGAAAGTCTACCAGGCAATGATGGCTCGACCTGGCATGTCGTTCTTCACTATGGATGACCTGGAAATGCTCTTTGACCGTATGAGCCAGGGTTACCCATGCCAGGCAACCAGACTAATGTCGCGGAAGTCATCCCATACCGATCCAGAGGAACTGATGGCCGCCCTAAGCAGTGGTATAAACCAAGTAAGATCGAAGGTTGCTCCAAAATGGTTTGACCGATCCGAAAGAGAAGGGCCGTGGATGAATAAAGGATACCAGACCGCTCACCCGTATGAAATGGAGAAGTACATACAACAATTCCAAGAGGACTATAAGCACAGTAAGCGGAAGGCCGAGAAAGAATCCCGGGATCGGGCTCGGCGCAGACGCAACCTTGGGCCTGGGGAAAAGAGGGTACTCGCCAGTTCAATGCTGACGAACGTGGTGTTCACGACAGAGACAGGACTGGTTGGGATTGGGCCGCTGGACACTCAGCAAGGGGACTGCGTCGTGGTATTATACGGAATCGATATCGCTTTCGTAGCACGACCTAGGAATGATGGAGGCCCGATGATGCTGGTAGGAAAAGTCTGGCTCCACCAAGACGCAATCACCAGGATTCGGGAGGGTATTGAAAAGAGGGACTTCGAAGAAAGTACTCTGTATTTCCGTTGAAGGGGACATGATTAAGATGCATGTCCGATGGTGTAAGGCCCGTGAATGTCCGTGGTTGCTTTGTTGAACGGACGTTAAACTAAAGCGTCAAGATGCCAAAGAATACCGTTCGGGCTGGTATGAAACCTCTGGAGGTTGCGCCTCGTTGTATGATACCAAACGTGAAGTTGCTCCCAAGTTGATGCCAAGCGCCCTTTAAAGGGATTATTACTACTTACCCCTTTACTGGATCATGTTAGTCGTAGGACCACTTATAGGGGCCATAAGCCACCACCAGGTCTGTTGTCCAAAGGGTATGCTACTGGCTGCATCATTACTTCTAGTTAATATGTTGGTGATTACGTAGCCCTTACGTAGTGATGACTTATAATAAGGGCAAATCATGGGGTTCACCTATATGCAGTCGGTAGTTGGTTTCGAAGTACTTAAGTCAAGTCCCTTTTGTATCACCCCAAATGATTCTAGGCCTCAACAAAATATAATATCAGAATTGACTAAAGAATGCCAGAGCTCCTATCGACCACGATTTCTGATCGAGCTGGGAGTCGTAAATACTCGAAATTCGGCATTCAATCTGATGGAATGATCAGCCCGCCGATGAATAATGGAAGCGTAACTAGAGAATAAAAGTAGAAGTCATATATAACCACATTAGAGACCTAGCCATTCAGGGACATTTCTATATATAACCACGTCGGAAGATCGAGAACAGTAGATCCGCTGCGTGAGCTTGGACAAACCCCTGTCTCTACCATGTAGGTGAGAACTAACGTAATAGGGGAGAAAGGATGCGCTAGATGGTTGTCTATATAATACAGGGGCTAGACCATGCACCGTTGGGTCAAACCCCACCCTGCTTTCATCGCCCTGTGACCTCAAAACACCATGTCTGAGCAGATTACTCAACTGCTGACGAACCTTCAGGCTCATGCCGGGCCGGGTCTCGAGATATTGACACAGAAGGAAGATAGCCGCTTCCAGGATTTCGCCAAACGATGGACAAACATTGGCCGAGAAATTCCTGCTGCTATTGTTCTTCCCGAGACGGAAGAGCAAATCCAGCAAACAGTGATCATCTTCTTCCGTATTTTATCTTGATACAGGACGAAGCTAATCCCGTAGGTCCAATTGGCTGCTCGGTTCTCGGTGCCGTTCGTTCCGCGGAGCGGGGGACACAGCGAATGGTCTACCATCGGCGAGAATGGGATCATCATCGACCTTAGCAAGTATAAGGCAATCGAGGTCGATGCCGCCAGAAGGAAGGCCACTTTGAGGGGGAATATTCTGTCTAAGCAGGTCGCCGTTGCTCTTGCCGACGCTGGGTTTTTCACAGGTGAGATTGGGACACTTTCCTCGCAGCCCCGACATCACACAGCCGACGGAGGAGCATACGCACAAACGTCAGATTCTGTTGTTGGTTCTTTATTGACTAGATACCTACGTATGCAGCACTGGGGAACGGTAATCCTGTCGGCGCTATCCCCTATTTTCTGGGAGGGGGCGCTTCTGTAACCACCTCGGTCACCGGGTTCGGCTCCGACCAGATCCTGTCCGCCCGCATGATAGATGCGAAGCGCAACGTTGTCCAAGTTACGGAGGAGAAGGATCCCGATTTGCTGTGGGCTATTCGCGGAGCGGGTCAATTCTTCGGCATCATAACCGAGCTCACCATCAAGGTCCATCCACTAAGCGAACTTGGCAACGACCAAGGGGTCATATGGGTGGGCAGCTTTGTGTTTCCCCTGGAGCGAGCCGAGGAAGTCGCCCAAGCTATGAAACCTCTCATGGACGATGGGAGCAAAGCAACGGCTGGCCTCATGATGACCATGGCTGCCCCGCCCGCCCGTAAGCCATGCTTGGTTATCGCCGCAAGGTTTACTGGGGATCCCGATGATGCGAAGGACACATATA